GAAAAGGACCTGGGGGTTCTGATTGACAAGGGGCTGAATATGAGCCAGCAGTGTGCCCAGGTGGCCAAGAAGGCCAATGGCATCCTGGCCTGTATTAGAAATAGTGTGACCAGCAGAAGGAGAGAGGTGATTGTCCCCCTGTACTCAGCACTGGTGAGGCCACTCCTGGAGTGTTGTGTCCAGTTTTGGGCACCTCAATTCAAGAGAGATCTCGAGGTGCTGGAGCGAGTACAGAGGAGGGCAACGAAGCTGGTGAAGGTCCTGGAGAATAAATCTTATCAAGAATGCTTGAAGGAGCTGGGAATGGTTAGTCTGAGGAAGAGGAGGCTGAGGGGAGACCTCATCAGTCTCTACAACTACCTGAAAGGTCATTGTAGAGAGGTTGGTGCTGGTCTCTTTTCACAGGTAATTAGCGACAGAACAAGAGGGAAGGGCTTCAAGCTGCAACAGGGGAAGTTTAGGCTGGATATTAGGAATATATTTTTCACAGAGAGAGTGGTCAGACACTGGAATAGGCTGCCTGGGGTGGTGGTTGAGTCACCATCCCTGGATGTGTTTAAGGGTTGTTTGGATGTGCTGTTGGTGGACAATGGTTTAGGGAGAACTTTGCAGAGTAGGGATGATGTTTGGACTCAGTGATCCCAAGGGTCTTTTCCACCCTGAATAGTTCTATGATTCTATGATTAACCTGAATATATGATAAAACTGAAGAAATTAGAGCCAGAAAAGAGCATTTTTTCACTCACTTCTAGTAGAAGTCCACCTTCTTGTACAGCAGTCTTGTTAGATACGTTGTCTTCTTTTATTGTTTGGCCAACTTGCTTCTTAAAGTGCTTTTCTTGGATGGCTGTTGGAAAGAATTATTATCAATTTAGAAAGCAAAATGAAAAAAAATTCTTATTTAGGCACTTAACATGCATTGATTTAATTTAGAGTTATTGTCAGTGTAGTCTGGATCTCAGTTACTTACAAGTTTATTTTGCTGTGAGGGAGATAGATACATATTTGGCAATTCAGATGGTTTTTATATGAAATATCTATCATATTTTTAATTTAACATACTTTTTCCATTAGCATGCTCTACATAAAGCAACAACCAAAACCCACAGGAAAGAAACAAAAGAAAGTTAGCAAGTTGTTTTGTTTATAAAAATATGTATTATGACAATATAAAGAAATGCCTGTATAGCTCAGAAGACAAGGGACTGAAATAAGTTTCTTATTTTCAGTGCTGACCTCCTTTGCACCAGATCATTTTCAGCCTCAGTCTTCCCTATTCCCTTCTATGAATCTGAGCCTGACTGTAAGATTCAAGAAAATGTTCTTAGAGTGTTTCATTTTTAAACAGAGGTTTGAAGTTTGCTTTTAGCAGGTCATTTACTACATGAAATTAATGCAAATGTCTCATTATGGTTTAAAATTGCATATATTTTTCCTTATCCTAAGGAAATATATAATATGTAAGTGCACTTCCTGCACATGTGTTATCATGGCTTGATCTGATATAATTTTGAATATTCAGGTTAAAGTCTTCATATAAATGTAACTGACAGAAAAATCACTGAAATACAGTCCCATTTCTGGGGATAATGGAAGAATTTCTGAGAAGGCTGACATCAAATGATACATTGGGCTTCTGCATCATCTAGGGCAGATGACAGGAACCTCTCTTTATCATCTGGTCAGTAAAAATTAAGGAGTCAGTTTCACTCTTACTGCCCCATCCCAGGAATGAGGCAAACAGATACACCGGTAACAAAGATTCAGTTTTCTGTTTGTTCTACTCTCCATGGAGAGAATGAAAGAGGGAAACATACCAGTGTGATTAGCAGGGCCATTTGATACACATTGTCCCTTCCAGCTAAAGCAGAGAACTGAAGCAGGCACAGCCAGAGATGGTTAATAATAATAATAAATAAAATAAAATTTAAAAAAGGACAGGAATTGTTTATACCAAATCTGAATAAGAAGAGAAGACAGTCATCAATCCTCTCATGCTCCTATGCTTGTTGCTAGAAGTCATGACAATGAGATTTAAATTTCTAGCAAGATACCAAGTTGAGGAAAAGGTCTGCATTATTAAACAGCTTGGATAATATTTGTTGCAAATGACTGTGGGTATGATCGAAATGGAACCACTTCCTTTCCAAAGGGCTGTATGAGAGCAACAGCCTAGTGAGGGACTGTTGCAAGAGACATCAGTGTTTTACAACAGATGATGGCAACACAGAATCACATTGACTGAATATTCGTGATGTTTTTTAGCTTACATTGTAAATATTTGCCATCAGTGATAATGTCAGTCATTACCCCAAAGTAATCATCTCAAATGTATAATTAGATGTAATAAATCCCTCCCCTGGGCATGGGAAAACACATCAGAGAAATCCCAGACTGCCTAAAGCAGATCCCTAGTCACGATTTCCAGACAAAACTATGTTGTGATTTCAGACTTGTAAGCTAGGATGCTATGAACAGGATATACAGATCCTTCAATCTGCATTTTCATGTGGGCATACCTTTAGAACTAATTGGAAAAGGTGACTCTCCCCTCAACCAAGCCTTCTGCTACACCGGACCATGAGAACTGACATGTGGACACAAAAATTTTTCAAAGCCCAGCCCCTATTCCAGTGGCCTCTTCCAGATTTTCCCCCCTCAGAAAAAGATGTTTTTGTAATTACTGACACAGTGGTTTTCAGTCTTTGTGCAGGTTAAAGGACAGACAGGGAGGGGTGAAAGGAAACGAAGGTTTATTTTTTTGATGTGTTCCTTTGGTGTTGTGAAAATTCCACCAGTTCTAACTTCATCGTTAGTGGAAACTATTATTTTACCCAACTGAGCGGGCCAGAGCTCCCTGCCTGTTTGTTAGCCTTCAGGCTTACACAAATACAGCAGCAGAAGCACAAGGGATGTTTGTTCCACAGCTCGTCTGGCTACTATAAATTCCACCTCCAAATGGAAAGTATTTCAGTGTTATTTTGCCGGCTAGAGTTACCCGTATGTTAGGCCACACACATCCGTTTCATAACATACCCGACTCACTGGCCTGGGCTTCAAGGAGACCCACGGCACCATCCAAGACAAATGACACCCTTTGTGCCAAGAAGCAAGAGCTCCTCCGAGATGGGGATGTATGTTCCTCACACCTGATGCAGCAGAGCTGCTGCTTCACTGCTCACTCTTCTTCTGCCTCCTTGCGCTGGAAATACCCTGTGAATCCACCCAGGGCTGGGCTGATCCTGCAGTGACAGCTCAGAAGAGATCCTACTGCTGGCCTGGATAGGCAGGGGAAGAAAGGTAGAAAAACCACACAGAGCCCCAAAATGGATGATGAGGAGGAAAAGCAAGATATGGGTGAGGGGGGAAATTGCAAGCTGTTATCAGACTAGGCAGAAATTAGGGAAAAGAAAACAGAGCAGCCTAACAATACCCCTGTTACCACCAATAATCCAGTGGGAGAACTGAGGGAGAGTAAGTATGGGCTATGACAGACAGCTTGATAGCCAGGGCCCTGATGCCAAGACAGCTGTGATCAGGCTTAGATATTACATAAAATAGTGGCCCTCTAGAGCAAAGGTGAAGCCTGGGATGATGAAACAAATTAAAGTCTGGAGAATACTGGAGTCTCTAGTAGGCAGGGAGGAGCAAACTGAGGAAAGCTAAAAAAACAACAAACAGCAAAGGATGACTCAGTGACCTGAGGGGAAAACTTCTGGCTGCTGGAGTTCCCATATATCAAGAATGGGGCAAGAAAAAAGCTGATATTGAAGGCAGTCTGATGAATGCTGCTGGCTGTGGAAAAAAAAAAAAAGAAAAAGCTTTATGGATAGTTGAACTGCTTTCTGTAGGAGCAGCAACTCCTTGGACTAGATTGTCAGCAATTCAGTGTAGAGCATTCACCTACAAGGTTCAAAACCATCAAATTGAAGAGATGAGAAGTAGGAACAGCAGGGACCTTTTTCTGAGCAGATCTTATCTAGCCTGCACTTCCAGAACACAAAGTAAAACAGAAGATGGAGCTGTTCTGCCAAAGAAGATGGATGAGCATATTGATACCATAGGGTGATGAACACCAGTACTAGGGCTGACAGTTTTGCAAGGTCATGAGATCTAGTGAGCATGGTGCAATCCCAGACAACATTGAAAGCCCATGATTTTGGAAATGCTGAGTCCTAGAGAAAGACAACACTATGGAAATATACAGGGCAGGGGGGAAAGGGACTGGGAGGAAGAATAGGAGGGAGAAAAAATGAAGAAAGATGGCTGAAGGAAAGGTCAAAGATCTGAGAACGTTTTTCCAAATTCTGATCTAAAAGAGGTGAAGGAGTGGAAACAACAAAAAAAATAATAATGTAGAGCTAGAATTGACAGCTAATCAATGTGGGGATAAGAGTCGTAACTTTGACTGAATGGAGTATAGGACTGTCTCAGATGATGCTGCTGAGCCCTTCACAGCTGTGCTGCCTCTCTCCAGAGCACTGTAAAAAGCTGAGATCTCTCTTGAGCCCCCAGTTCTGATGTAAGCACGGCTGCCTGCACTTGCAAACTCCTTGGTTTGAAACTTGGATCTGGAATATTGTAAAGAAGAGAAAAGCTGCCTGACACATTGAAGTCTATAGAAGCATTATGAAACCAGCCCTTTGCTTTGCCCCAGAAATAACAGAACATTTATTCATTGCAGAATACTCTTCAGTTCAGAGGAATGGAAATTTCAAGACTCTCATAAAACTGTATTTTAAACCCATAGAATTACACTCCCCAAAGTGTTTCTGTACCTCTTCCCACACAAACGCAATCCTTCTTCTTCAGAAAGCAATCAGCAACATTACCTGCTGAGCTCAGCTCTGTAATAAACTAAAGCGTGGTCAAACTGTACCTCAGCTGCCCTAGGGGTCTTCTGCTGCTTAGGCTACTGGCATCAAGCAACAGCACAGCCAAGAAAAGAGCAGTGAAGGGATGCTATTTCCTATCTGAACACCTTGCCTGAGTTCATTTGAGGTGTAAGAAGGGGACAGCACTGTCTTCTTCAGGCTCAGTATGATGCAGGCGTATCAGTTTCAAGCCTTTCGACAAGGAGTACCTGTATGACAATTACTCCCTAATGATGTCCAGGGGATGAATTGTTTCTTGGATTAGGCAGAGGAAAATACCCGAATCTAGCTTGCAGGTTCAGAGATATTGCTTGATGAATGTGAGTCTTAATTTTGGTAACTGTTAGTTGAAAGGAAGTGAAAATGGGGTCTTTCTTCCTGGAGGTTTGAGCTGCAGGAAGAATCAGCTGTGCGTGTTACCCTGAATGCTGAGAAAATGAAACAGCTAGGAAGCACTTGATAGGAGCAATTCTGCTTAACTAACCTACAGCCGTGAACTGAAACGGTCTGTTTCCTCTCGCTGTGTCGCAGAGAACAGCAAGCGGCAGCAGGGACAGCGCTCATTAGAAGCCCACTGAAATTAAACAGTTTGCAGCACCAAGAACAGTTATAATCACACTTTGCCAAACAATATGAAAGGGACGTTTGCACTTTGAAATGCCACAGGTTGCACGAGCGCTTTGGGAGCAAAGCCAGCCCCAAAGCTTCCCCTCTGCGGACAAGACGTGTGGTGCTCAGTCCCGCCGCAGAGGCCACCAGAACACCACATGCAGCAACGCGCAGCTTCTCTCTCCTCCCGGCTTGGCGGCTTTCTCAGTCTGCTTCTTCTTAAGAGGCGCTTTGAAATCCCACTGCCCTTTGAAGTTTCTCGAGTACAACGTGACATGTATTTAAGGTGCAACCCGCACTCTTTGCTCTCCAGACCCCCCTCCCTCCCTCAGAACCCCTCCTTCCCCACTCCCTCAGCCGCTTC